GTTTTACATGGACAGTTCAATGACACTGATTATTCTTCAAGTTGTGGAAACATTCTCACCACCCTCCTCTCCTGAGCTGTGTCCTTCTCACTGAACATCCCCCGGGGGGCACAAGCTCAGTCTCCCTAAGGTTCCTATCTCATCTTTGGAATTGCTGTTGTCACTTTGATCCAAGTATAGATAGATCTTGTAAGAGTCCAGCACTCAAGGCAGACATTCTTCACTAGTTTATCTAAACTGTAGATGGCTTTTGGCAAGAAGATCAGGAAAATTTGATTTAAGATTTAAAGATTCTCTCTATATGCTCACACAATCTCCCACTTCATTATTTAATGCATTTCAAAATAAATTACAGATGCATGGTAGGCACTCAGCAAGCTTTTTTTAAAAAAAAAGTTGTGTTTGGGGTGAACATCTACAGAGCAATGCACCTTTCATTCAGCTTTCACATAGTTTTTTGGTTTATGACATTGATTAGAAGCCCCACAACAGCACTCTTCTAATCTCTTCCTTATGATTTTCACTCCCTTCATCCTTCTCATCATATCCCTTCCCACCAGCTTGAGATTTCTCCCTAGGCAAATGATGCTTTTGTATGATTGATTGTTCTGAGAAATGAGTTCCTGCCTGTTATATAGCTGTTCACCTTATGTAACCGCTACTGATGGCCATCAAGTCAGAAGTGGCTCATAGCTGACTCCACTGGGTTCCCAAAAAGATTGCCCATTAGTCTTTCTTAGTGTCACTATGCAAAAAAACCAAGGGTCAGGTGCAGATGGCTGTGTGTGACATTTACCAGCTCCACAAAGAGGAACTATTCCCGTCAAGAACACCAACAAGACAACCAATTCCCTCATGGCCCCACACCTCTTTCTACTCATCCCAACACAAATCGGATTGCTTTAATGGGCCCAAAATCCATTGCAATAGCTCACAGACCACACAGAATCATATTAGGGAAGCCAAAAGGTTGGTAACAGATGGAATCACTTGGGACAGCTTCCAAAACATGCTCACAGGCACCTCAGCCTTTAGCCTCGCAGCTTTAGACTCTTAGTCCTGCCAATTGTGGCCCTCTCCCCTGACCCTCAGTCCTCTAAAAAACGTGGGCAAAGGCTCTGCGCTCTGGTTCCATGCGGTAGCAGTCCCAAGGGCAGGTCTGTCTCATGTGAAGTCTCTGGTCCTCGACTCTGACTTCTGCAGGTCTAGCTAGAGCAAGTCTCTTGTCCCAGAGGACACACTGCAACCTCTTCTGCTTTCCTGGTCTTGAGATTCTCAACATCTGCGGCTGAATCTGCTCAGTTTAGTGGTGAGACTATGTAGTCCCCTGTGGCTGAGTTAACATGCCCTATTCACATCCTCCCACCCATCCACATGGCAAAGTCAACCCCAATTGCTAGGAAAGCCATTTTGAATGATAAACCCTCAACACCACACACTAGTAGATCGGAACCATTGTAGAGGCTCTGCCTTTGTGTTAAGAGCACAACTCCCTATGGACTATGGCACTAGAGCTCCCTGTTCACCTCATAGGCTTACTGTCTACTGGCTGAAAGTTGAGCCAGAGGAAGTATTTCTCTCAAAGGACCCTACACAGCAGAGGCCACACATGCCTAAGTGTATAGGGGCCCCCAGCATATTAACACATATAGACCTTTGTATGTTTTGCACCCCCAAAAGAAGTCACTAATTATCCCCTTTGCAGTCGGCACTGTTATTACAAGGTGGTAAACACAGCAGTGACCAAGATGTGCCCCATCCCTGCCCTTCCAGTGTCCACAAACTGGCAAGGGGAGTGACATAACACACATCATCACACCCATAAATGTATAATGGCAGCTCCTGCAGAGTGCTGCCAAAGCCACATGAACAACATGAACATAGATGAGGCTGGGGAGAGTCAAGGGACAGCTCACCAGAGAGGTGGCAACAGAGAGGGGCTGAGAGGTTGTGTGGCCGTCTGGGGCCTGAGGCCTCCTCTCCTTCTTCTTTTTTTCTTTTTTTTTTCCTTGTTGCATACAGTCAAATCGGATCTGACTGGCACAGGAGGAAACTGACCCTGTTTCTCCAGCGGAGCATCTGGTGGATTCGAACCACACGCCTTTGGGACTGGAGTGCAGCTTCTTGCCACTAGGCCATCAGAGCTCCCTCACCTTTCCTTCTTAATAAGAAGGTAGCCTAAATTTGCAACTGCTGAAAGGTAGGTAGTTCAAACCCACTAGTCACTGTGAAGGAGAAAAGTGAGGTGGTCTCCTCCTGTTAAGATTTATAGCCTCGTAAGTAGAAATATTTCCAAGGAAATTTCTGAGCGTAATTCAACCCAGTAATCCTATTACTTACTAAGTATATATCCTGAAGGAATAAGAACTGAAACACAAACAGATTTGCACGCACTCGTGTCCATTGCAGCGAGATGGAAACAACCAAAGTGTTCATCACGTGATGAGCAGGGATGTTCATGTGTTGAGTTCTGAGGGCTAAGAACTGTGTGTGGGAACTTGACTTGCCTCCCACTACGCTGTGAGTGGGTTCTATGCATATTCCCATTTCACAGGTCGGTAAGTTGAGGCTCAAGAGGGCCAGGCACTTGCTCAAGATGACACGATTAGTGGTTGTTGCTGTCGGAACTGGTTCAGCTGACTGCTCAGCGGATTTTCAGAGGCTTTAAATTGCAAGAGCCTGCTCACCTGTCTCCTGCGGAGTAGCCGGTGGATTCGAGCCCCCTGCTTTGGGGTTGGCAGCGCTGAGATCCCACCTCGCATCTCCTTCATCGACTAGACTTCTCCACAGGTTGGATTTTTGCACACAAACCTCTTTCTAGATGAACAGACAGAAAGCATTCAGAAGAGTGACATGGGGGTTCCCCTGCATGGAGGCCCTTACCTCATATCCCCACTTATATAACCTGAGTTCTTGGACCATCCCTGGTGCAATGCCAGTCATGGGAGAAAGGGTCCAGGATCGATGTTCCTCAAAGCTCACCAGACCTGTGTCATTGTTACGTACTGTCAAGTCTCACCATCTCTGACACATTCGAGCCCCTTGCTAGTCACTATGTCAATCCGTTTCATTGTAGATCTTCCTCTCTTATGCTGATACTCCACATTTCCAAGGACTAGACCCTCCTAACAATATGCCCCAAGTATCAGACCCACAGAGTTTGTCAATGTCAGGGACACAGACCTAGAGAAGGGGAAGGGTCACCCTGAGCCCACACAGCAAACCTGGGACTCAGGGACTCTGAAGACCCCTATCTCTGATCTAGGCTTCTGTCTGCTTAGTCACACTGCCTCCTGAGGACCAGGGAGACCCCAAGACAAGGAGAGGTGGAAGGATTGACAGAACCTGGGAACCACAGCCCCAGAGGAGTGGTGAAGACTGAAACATTAAACTCAAATGTCCCTCCATTTCCTGGGCCTCTGACTGCAGAGACAGAGTGTGGGGGGAGGGACAGGTCATGGGGTCTGGTTGGGGAACTTGAGGGGAAACTCTTGGGGCTCAAGGCTGTTAGGTGGGGTTACACCAGGAGCTGAATAGCATATGCCAGCGTGTGTGTGTGTGCGCGCGCGCGCGCACACGCGCATGCGCATGCACGTGCACGTGCGCATATGTGTCCAATTCCTATGACTGGGTCCATGAACACCTGTACATGTTTCTACACCTCTAGGTCTTGGGTGTGTGTGTTTGTGTGTGTGTGTGTGTATGTGTGTCCCCCTTTGTGTCTATGATCGTTTCCACATCTTCCTGCTTATGCCTGATCCCATATCTATTTGTGGCTCTCAAGTCTCTTTGTTAAACTATTTCTCTTTGAGTGTGAGTGTGCTTCATCTGTACACATGCACGCCTCCATGTATCTGAGCCTCTGTGCCCCCACCCCCCAGTGTCCCCGTGGGAGCCACATACTGTGCCTCTCTCTGCCAGTATCCTTGTGGATTTGGGTCCATGCCCCTGCATCTTCTGTGGACACCCACACACTGTCATCCCCTCTCTGTGTGAGGTATTGCATGTGTGTCAGAGGCCTTATGTCTCCCCATGTCCGTCCCCCCCCCCCGTGGTCACACACACAAACATCTATCTCTTCTCTATATTTGCAGAGCAGTGTGTGTGTGTGTGTGTGTGTGTGTGTGTGTGTGTGTGTCCTCACCCACCATGGGCACCACCTGCCAGGACCACCCCGTTCTAGAATTTTTTCCAGGAGCAAGAGCCTGACCAACTCATCTGAGAGCATGCTGTTGCGTGTCTCTGCCTGCCCCAGCCCAGTGTCAATGCGTCTGGGGGAGAGAGAGAGACAAGAGAGAAAGAGAGAGAGTGTCCCAGCCCAGTGTCAACATCTGGAGGAGGGGTCTGTCTGTCTATCTGTCTGTCCCAACCCAGTGTCAAGTCTGGGGGAGTGTGAGAGTGTGTGTGTCCCCATCCAGCGGCTGTGAGTGCAAAGAGGGGTGTGAAGGGCTGAGGGCAGGCCTGGTGGTGGCCAGACTAGGGGTGGAGGCGCGGAAGGGGGTCCCTGGGACTGAGTTGAGAGTGGAGTTTGGGAGGAATGTTTACCAGTCGCAGGCAGAGCCCAGAGGGACAGCGCCCAGAGTCCCGACTGAAAGCACAGCCTCCAGAGTCCCGCCCAGGACTAGGGGTGCAGCCACCAGGGCCCCCCTCCCCCTCCCCAGCCTCCCTCCAAGGCCCCTTTAAGACAGGCAGGTCCCCTCCTCTCGGCTTAACCCCTCACTGCCCAGGTGGCCCCCAGGGCTCGGGGCTGTGGGCGGAGGCACTGGGGGCTGGGGGCGGGGAAAGGGCAGCCCAGAGCCAGGGAGGGAGAGAAGGAGGCAGGCGGACTGCGGGCCGCTGAACGGAGCCTGGCCCCTTCGTACTGGCAGGCAGGGTCAAATCCTGGGAGCCCGGAACTGGGGGGAGGGCTGGGGACAACCCGGCCCTGCCCCCTCCTCCGCGGGGTGCCCGGGAACTTGTGAGGAAAGTTTGGCATCAACTGCGCCCTGTGGTCCCCGAGGATGGACAAGGTCCTGCTGGCCTGGTGCTTGGCGCTGTGCTGCTGGGCTTTCGTGGCCCTCAGGGGTAAGTGATGGAGGGATGGGGTGCAGGGCTGAGAGGGGGACCACAGGGGCGAGTGGGTGCCAGGTACTGGGCCAGTTCCAGGAGTTTCCGTGGGACGACTGTGGGAGACAGGGCGACTCAGAGACCAGCTCGGAGCGGCAGCGGCTGAGCAAGAGTTGGAGGGAAGAACAGAAGAGCAAGAAATAGAAACTGAGATGGCCAGAGAGACAGACAGACAGACAGACAGGCCTCAAGGAGCTGAGAGCTGCGTGGGGGCTGGGCCTGAGTCCAAGGGCTTTGAGAAGAGGGGCTGAGCTGGGGCAGCCAGGAATCTTCCAGAAAGAAGAGAACAAGAAGTCAGGGAGAAAAAGAAGGAGGGCTGGGGATCTTGGAGGAGACCCTATCTGCCCACGTCTTTGTCCCTGTCCCACCACTGGTTGGCTGGCTGACTTTAGTTTTTCATGTGTGCTTCTCCCTTCTTCTCTCTCTCTTTCTCTGTCCCTGTCTGTGTCTCAGTCTCTCTGTCTCTTTGTCTCTCTCTGTCTGTTTCTCTCTCCCCCTTCTCTCTGTCTCTTTGTCTCTCTGTCTCTCTCTCCCCCCCCCCTTCTCTCTGTCTCTGTCTTGCTCTCTCTCTCTCTCTGTGTCTGTCTCTCTCTTTCTCCTGTCTCTGGGCCTGTTTGTCTCTCCCCCCAGGCCTGACTTTTTCTGGTTTCGCCCTCCACCCTCTGTTTCTCTCTACTCTCTCTCCCGTGCTGATCTTTCCACCCAACCCAAACTATTAAATCTCTAGAGACCCCTAAGGCAGAGCAGTGGGGGCAAGGGTTGGTGCTGGCAGGCAGCTCAGGGCGTGAGAGGCTGCCAGAGCCCGGCTGATTTCCCAACGGATGGATACTGGACCCCAGTCCCCTGGGAAGGCTCCGTCCTCCCCCAGAGCCTACGCCTTCCACCTCCTCTGAGGTCACTCGACAACTATGTGGGGCTGAGAGCCGGGCAGTGGTGGGCAGGCGGGAGAGGGGGTGGGAAACAGAGGACCAGGAGGACAGTGGGGCCCCTAAGCAGACCCTTACTGTTCCCTTTGCAGGCGCACAGGGTGAGGCAAACCCCTTCGTGGCGAGCCCCGGGAACATCACGGGTGCCCGGGGACTCACAGGGACCCTCCGCTGTGAGCTCCAGGTCCAGGGAGAGCCCCCTGAGGTGACATGGCTCCTAGATGGACAGGTCCTGGAGCTAGCGGACAGCACCCAGACCCAGGTGCCCCTGGGAGAAGACGGCGAGGATGACTGGAAAGTGGTCAGCCAACTCAGGTGTCCAGCCTCCCTCCCTAACGTTCCTGACCTCTGTCCTTCCCCTCCTGAGACATTCATCACGGCGAAACGTGGTGGGAATCCCAGACTGGTCACCTCCTAGCTGTGTGGCTTTTAGCATGTGGTGTCCCCTTCTGGGTTTCACTTTCCTGATCTGTAAAATGGGATAGTAATAGTACCTACTTTAATAATAGTGCTTACTTCCTGGTTAGGGCAGCTCTGGTGACCTAGTGGATGAGGAGTTATGCTTCCAAACCTACGACAGGTGGTTCCAATCCACCAGCTGCTCCTCGGGAGAAAGATGGGTCTCCTCTGACACAATTACAGCCTCTGAATACCCACTGCATGGTCAGCTGTGGGTTGGTTCTGACCCGATGTGCATAATAATAGCAACAAGCGTGTGGTTCATAAAGCTTTCCAGGCCAGAGCCCCATCCCAGTTCTAGCCATTCCATACCAGGATCGGGCTCTGACCACCAACCTTTCTGTCAGAATCTTGTCCCTTCAGCTCTTGGATGCAGGGCGGTACCAGTGTGCGGTGGTCGTGGGAGGAAAGACCTTCCTGTCGAAGCCTGGCTACGTGGGACTGGAGGGTGAGCCTGGAGTCAGAGGAGTGCCAGGATATGGAGGGGGCTGGAGGATCCTGGGCATCCTTGGGGCAAGGGGCCATGGGGCACAATGCCTATAGATGTCAGAGGTCTTGGTAGGGACATGAAGAAGCTGGGACTCCACAAATTATGGGAGACTGGCCTGGGAGTATAACATGTTTCCAGGAAGAAGACAGTCTGGGATGGCCAATGTTTTGGGGGTCACACAGAGTTACAGATCAGATAATAGGTTATACTCAAATAGGTGGTACTCTCACACATACACACTTGCCTGATTTGTGAAATGGGAGAAGTCAGACTTTTTGGAAGTGAGGCATGAGGGGTTCAGGAGTCCTAAGAGTCAGATATTAGGGCCATGTGTCCTCGGGGAACAGAGGCCTTGAGGGGAATATCAGGTGTCCTGGGGATCAGAAGTGGGAGGACAGAAGGGTAGGATGCAAGGTGAGCAAGCCAGGTATCCTGAAGCCCCCAGTATCCTGGTGGATCTAATACCCTGCAGTGCTCCAAGAGGCCACCTGCCTCTAACCTTCACCCACATCCCCAGGCCTACCCAACTTCCTGGAAGAACCAGAAGATAGGACTGTGGTCGCCAATACTCCCTTCAACCTGAGCTGCTTGGCCCAGGGACCCCCAGAGCCGGTGAACCTGCTCTGGCTTCAGGATGCTGCCCCCCTGGACACTGGCCATGGCTCCCAGCACATCCTGCAAGTTCGGGGTAAGTCAAGGGCATGGACAGCCCTGCATGAGGTCAGGACAAAGGCAGTGGGGAGCTGGGGCGCCTTCCTTGTCTTGGGGAGTTCTGCCTAGCTCTCTGAGATGTCTCTGTGTTCCTGTCTCTGTCTCAGAATGTTTCTGGCTCAGATCTGTGTCTATGTCTCTATCTCTCTGTGTGTTCCTATCTGTCTGCTTTTATCTGTTCACTATCTGTCTGTCTTTTTCATTGTTTCTGTCTGTCGATCTCTCATCTCTGCCTCTCTTCCCCATCTCTTTCCCTGTCTCTCTGTCTGTCTCATTCTTTGTCTCTCTTGCCATCTCTTTCTCTCTGCCTCTTTCTCCTTCCATTCACCCTGGCCTCTCTCTGAATAGAATTCTTTGTTCGGGGTTTCCACTGAGCTGCTCTCTGGTCCAAGCGTGTGTGGGCCTGGTGGCCCTTTGTCAGCCCTTGACCCCAAGTGGGGCACCGGAATAAACTGTGCCCTTCTCTCCACCCCCTACCTGCCCACCTCCAGCCATAAAAGGGTCCTGCTGGCCTCTGTCAAGGGAAAGAAGCCCTGCCCAGGTCCCCCACTGTGGGAGGACAGAACCCAAAACAGAGAGGCCAAGAAACGGGATAAAGGACAGTTACATAGAGAATGGGAGATGGAGGGAGGGACACACTGCAGAGGTAAGCTAAGATGAAGACAAAGGCAGGGTGACCGTCTCCTCCCACCCCGGATAGCGAGAGAAGCAGGACCAAGCCTGGGTCACAGAGGATGGAGACAGAACAGGGGAACCCTGGACACTGGGGATCCTCTTCATCAAGGGCAGTGAGACAGGGGAGTTCACTCAGGGAGACAGCTGGGCCCTGAGGGTGTCAGCTTCCTGCACCCCACCTGCAGCTTGGGATGGAAGGGATGGAGTGGGCACTAGGACAGAGGGGCTCACATTCCCAGAATTCCCAGGGCCCTGAGTGTTAAAGGAAGTGGTGAGAGTGTCAGCCCCAGAGGGGGTGACTCAGGACCATGGCTCGAGTGGGGACAGGGATGGGGTCTGAGTCAGCTTGGCAGTCCATCCAGAGGGGGCAGGGAGAGGGGAGCTGTCCCTGCCACTCATATAGAGAAGAAGAAACGAGGGGGACAGGGACAAGCAGGCCAATATGTGTATAAGTGGTTGGGGGCAATGTCTGGCTGTGTGCCCATGTCCCCCCGGATCTGTGTGACACTGTGTCCATCAGCATCATCCTCTTTTGCTTTGTGAATACCTCAGTGTGCGTGCTTGGTTAAATGTGAGTTCACAGCTGCTGTGTCTGTCCACTGCTGTGTTTAGGTCCATACAGTAGTTCTCTGGACATTTTTCAGCCATTTCTCTCAGTATGTACATATGTGTGTGCACACAAGTGGACTGAGTATACCATTGTCAGCCTGTATGTGTGTGTGTGTGTGTGTGTGTGTGTGACTCACTGCCCAAGGGGGGGGTGTGCGCGTGCGCGTGCCTGCGTGTGTGTGTGTGTGTGTGTGTGTGTGTGTGTGCCTAGCCATGACTCACTTGTGGGGGGGAGGGGCAGGAATGGCAGTTCTCCCTTCTTGCACACCTACCCGTGTGGAGGTGAAAGTGTCAGCTCACGAATGTGTGCCCTCAGTGGGCCTGTTTCCTTTTGGCAAGTGGGAGTTATCCTCAGATAGCATGCTATTTCTTGGTGGCATGGTGAGTTCCTCCTTGCTTGCGGCTACCCAAACCCCTATGTGTATGTGTGTGTATCCACATGTGACCAGGATGGCCAGAATTTCTTTCTCAGGGATTCAGCACGTGCATGTTCATTTCTTGGGGTGTTTCTCAGTGGCTCTGTGTGTCTAAAGGAACTCTGGTTGCTAAGGGAGCAAGAAGTTGCACTGCCAACCCAAAGGCAGGCAGTTCAAATCCACTAGCTGCTCCACAGGAGACAGATGAGCAATCTCCTCCCATGTGATTTATAGCATCTGAAAACCCGGTGGAGGCTCAGCCATGAGTCACTTCCAACTCAGTGGTGATGATTTCGAGGTTTTAATTTTCCTTTGGTCCATGGGTATCTGTATCTGAGTATATGTCTACGGTGAGTATGCTGGAAAGTGAAGCTGTCACCATGGTTGTTCCTCTGTGTGTGTGTGTGTGTGTGTGTGTGTGAGAGAGAGAGAGAGACCCAAGTGCATGCTGCAGTGTCTCCACTCTCTTGCGGCTGCAGCAGCCCCGTGGGTCTGTGCACATGGGACTGAGGACCAGCCTGCACCTCTTGCTGGCCCCGCTTCAGCAAATGTGTCTGCAGCATCACAAGTGTATCCAGCTGTGTTTTGGCAGACATGAAGTTTCAGCTCTGTGTGTGTGTGTGTGTGTGTGTGTGTGTGTGTGTGTGTGTGTGTGTGTGTTCATGTGTGCGGCAATGCGCTCACATGTGAGCAGATCAGCATCAGCTTTCACTTGCCTCAGTTCTTATCTCCATCCACTCCAGCCCCACCCCAAGTTTCATGCTGGGTGTGTGTGTCTCAGTATGCAGATGTATGTGTGTGTACATTAGCACAACTAGATGAAGATTGTTCAGCTATGTGTTTGTAATCAGTGTGTGGATGTGTATGTCTGTCGTCTTTGTGTTTGTCCCAACTGTCCCCTCATTCCTGACTGTGTATATGTGTACACCACCGGATGTGTGTTGTTGCCCTTACCTTCGCCGTGTTTGTGCCAGTAACAAGCCCCGGTGCCTCTAGGCTGTGATTCACTGTGTGAGCACTTGGGGGGTAGGGGGGTTGTGTCAGGAATTTCGTCAGTTGGTGTGTATCTGTCCCTCTCTGATTCAGGGCGTGCCCTCTCGCTCTCCTTCCATCCCCCTCATTCCCTTGGAAAAGGGCGAAGGGAGGGCGGGGCGGCGCTGGCAGAGGGGTAGGACATCTGGAAAGCACATCTGGAGCTGGCCCGCTTCTGGCGCGGAGGGAAAGCGAGCCCATCACGGAGGGGATCCCAGGCCGCGTCCCTCCCCAGCCCTCCGCTGAGATGCCCAGAGTGAGAGGAGGGGGGAATCCCAGGAGGGGGAAATCCCAGGCCCCTTCTCGCCCCCTCCCTTTCCCGGCTGGCCCGGAAAGGGGGAGATTCGGCGCCTTGCGCCCCACGAGCCGGCCGGAAGTGCCCTGGGAGGGGGCGTCCCGGTGACTCAGGCGGGAGCAGGAATGCTGCGGTCGGAACTGGAACCGGCTCCAGAACCCCCTCCCGGCCCTCGGGCTCGTCTGGCGGGGGCGGGGCCGGCTGCGGCGCGGTGACCCTGGCGGGGCCCCACGTGCCAGGTGGCTGGACGCGCGCCCCGGCTCCCCGCCCCCCTCCGCCCGCGGTCCGCGGGGCTGCCCTGTCCGTGCCTGGGCAGCGGGGGCTGCGGGCCGCCACCTGACCTTGGCCGAGAACATGTGTTCTGCGCGCCCCGAGCCGGGAGCCTCCCTGCCCACCCGCTTCCGGCCGCTTTCCCCCATTGCGCTCCCTCTGCTGACGGAGAAAGGGAAAGTCTGTGTGCCGGACCCAGAGGCGATGGGAACCCACCCCGGACAGTCGCATCAGAACAACTCACAGACACACCTCACACACACACCCCCACACACACACACACACATCAGAACAACTCACAGACACACCTCACACACACACCCCCACACACACACACACACATCAGAACAACTCACAGACACACCCCACACACACACACCCGTGGAACCACAGACACCCGAACAGGAACAACCCCAAAATGCGCATTGCTGTCAATTTGATTCCAGTTCTTACCGACCCTGTAAGACAGCAGAATCGCCCTTTCTTATCATTAGGAAAGCCTATCTATCACCTCATCTCTGCCGAAAAGCAGCCAGTGTGTTCCCGCTTGTGGCCTTTTGTTTAACGGGTGGAGTGCTTAATCTTGCGCCAACAGGGCTCCTCCGCAGAAACACCCTACAAAACCAAACCCACTGCCATCTGATCAGTTCTGTCTCGGGGTGAGGGGGTGGAGGTTTGAAGGCTGTAAATCTTAATGGGAGTAAACAGCTTCGTTTATTTCTCCTTATTGTTCTCTATTGGATTCCAACTGCTGACCTTTGAATTGGCAGCCCAGCACTTTACTTCTAGGCCACCAGGGCTCCTTCTGTGGAAACACAGTCGTGAATAACTCAGCACATGTACAGAAAAACACACATGAGAGAGCTGCATTTTCACGTGTGGACTTAGACTCCGCCCTTTCTTCCCGTCGCAGGAACACTGCTATGTGTCTGTGTCTCTTGTGTTTGTCTCTGTGCTTGTGTGTGTGTAAGATTTTGTGATTTTGCACTCTTGTTCCCATCAACACCCTGGAAAAGACAGTCTCCCCATGTTGTTATGCGCTGTCAAGTTGGAACCGGCTCATAGCTGAAACATAGGTTTTCAGAGGCAGTAAGTTGCATGTGAGGAGATTGCCCATCTGCCGCCTATGGTGTAGCTGGTGCGTTCAAACCATGTACTTTTGGACTAGCAGCACAACTCTTTACCACTAAGCCACCAGAGCTCCCTAGTCTGCCTGTATTATTGTGGCCATTGTTGTGTATCATCGAGTTGGAATCCTGAACTGACCGTAGCTGACCCTCCAGCAGGTTTTCAGAGGCAGTAAATCACACGGCAGGAGACTGCCCATCTTTCTCCTGTGGTGCATCTGGTGGAATTCAAACCATGTATCGTCAGCAGCATAGCTTCTTACCACTAGGCCACAAGAGTCGACCTTCTCCCAAAATGCAGTTATCAACACATACATCTGAGCCACAGAATTTCATATGCTAACCTTTCTGTAGTTGCCGTACCACAGTCACTTGTGGTTGCTGTGAGGCTGAACCACTGTGACACTGATGTGTCAAATGCGTTAATGGTTGGCTACCCAATGCGGACAGAGAGTGGGGTGGAGCTCCCAGATGAAAATAGGCTTGGAAGGAGGTGTGGCATCCACTTCCGTAATACCTTGCCTCCAGAAACCCTATGAACATGGAGAGAGGATGAAAGACACCCAAGGGTTGAGGACTCTCCTTCATAGGGTCGCTATGAGTCACCTGCGACTCAACGGCATTTAACAACAACCACCACCACCTTTCTATGTACACACCCAGGAAAGGTGGGCAACTAACCAAGAAGCTGGTGGTTCAAAGCCTCCTAGAGGCCGGAAGACAGGCCTGTGATCTGCTTTTGACAGGCCTGTATCTCCGTGCAGTCGACTTCCACTCTGCACACAGGCAGTCACTGTCAAAATCAGCTCAACCACAGTTTAAGAGTAACATCCCACACAAATCTGTTCACTCATTCAGCAAACATTTATGGAGCGCCTACTTGGTTCCAAGGAACCCTAGTGGTGTCATAAGTTAAGTGTTGAGCTGTGAACCAAAAAGCTGGCAGTTCAAATCTACCAGCCACTCTACAGTAGGCAGATGAAATAGTCTCCTCCTGTTCAGACTTACAGCCTTGGAAACCCAGCGGGAGTCTGCTGAGTCAGAATCAACTCGAAGGCAGTGAGTTTGGGCTGTTTTGGTCTTACTGTTTGCCAGGCCCAGGCCCTAAGGGTGTATACAGCAGGGAACGTGTTTGATTTTGTTGTTGTCAAGGGCTGGAGAGTTGACTGTGATCCACAGCCATAGCAACACTATGGACAACAGCTCTGAACCTTGTCCTAACCTGCACCATCCTCGTGATTTCTGATATGCTGAGGCCCCTTATAACAGTTATTGTGTCAGTCATTCTTGTTCGAAGTCTTCCTCTTTCTTTGACCCTCCACCTTTTCCCAGTATAATGTCTTTTTCCAAAAATAGGGCCCTCCTGACGACATGCCCAAAGTATGTGAGATGTGTTTGAAAGTAAGTTCACCAAACACACTTCTTAGGAAAACTCCGGCTGAACTTCCTCCAAGACATACCTGTTTGTTCTTTTGGCAGTCCATGAAACAATCGATACTCTTCTCCAACACCTCAACTCAAAGACATCAGTTCTTCTGCTGTCATCAGTATTCATTGTCCAGTTTTCAGATGCATAGGAAGTAACTGCAAATACCATAGAATCAAGTGCACCTTAGTATGTTAACCGACCTAAGAGGCCAAACACCCAGGAGCCAACATTCTAGACAAGAGTTTACAGAAGAGATGTATTAAGTGTATTGAATGGTGAAAAGGAATAAGGACAGAGAGCAAAAACATGGAGGGGAAAGTTCTAATTTTCACCGAGGAACTCAAGGACAGCTTTGGGTGTCAAACACAAAGGAGGTGAGAGAGCAAGCCCTGTGGGCAGGCTTCTTCATGTGGGAAGAGTGCTCCAAGTGGAGCAAGAACCAAGTATGAAGACAACACGTTGAGATCTGCTTGGTGGTTCCAGAAGCACCAGGAGGCTGGGCTGGCTGGAACAGGTTGAGCTGCGAGGAGAGGATTTGGTGGGAGCGAACTGACAACTAAACAAACACACATATATACATATATATACAAATATACATGCCCATGGGCCTGCCTCTCCCCATGTGGGTCTCTTGGTGTGTGTATACACTCAGCGTGTGTCTATGTGTGTCAGTGTAGGTGTATCTCTTTGCGTGTGTGTGTGTGTGTGTGTGTGTACCTGTGTTTGAGTATACATGTCCCATAGGTGCAGTTGAGAGGGAACTGACTTGTAGCTGACCCTCCAGAGGATTTTCAGAGCCTGAACATCGCACAGGAGGAGAGTGCCCATCTTTGTCCTGTGGAGCAGCAGCTGATGGATTCGAACCACCTGCCCGTGGGTTGGCAGCGCCGCTGCTTACCCACTAGATCACCAGAGCTCCCTTGAGACTGTATGACTATGTGTCTGTGTGTGAGTGAGTGTGTATCCATGTTCTGTGTTTCTGTGTGTTGTGTAGAGTAACTATGAGTTGGAATTGACACAGTATTGGGTTTGGGGTTTTTTATGTGTGAGTTATGACAGTATGTGTTTCCGGTGTGTGATGGGGAGGGGTGTGTACATGTCTGTCTGTGCCTGTGTGTATATGCCTTTGTGGTTGTGTGTCTACACAGATGCATGTTTACATGGTGGAGGATTAGGGCTGAAACCATGGGGCCTGTTCCCCCCTCACCCAACTCCCCCTTCATGCAGACAGCCTAGGGGTTGTAGACGATCAAAGCCAGCTAGGCATGATGAGGGTGGCCTTGGGGTCCCCACCCTCCCCTCTCTGACAGTAGTCCCTCCTATGGCTCCTCAGGTCTGAACAAGACGTCCTCTTTCTCCTGTGAAGCCCATAACGACAAGGGAGTCACCACATCCCGCACAGCCACTATCAAAGGTGATGGAAGAGGGGCTGGGGAGTGTGAGGGGCTGACTGAGAGGTGGGGGCTGGAGCAGGGTGAGAGGCTCAGGAAAGAGTTCCCCAGGGTCATTCCCTTTTCTGATCTGCCCACAGTGCTCCCCCAGCAACCTCGAGACCTCCACCTAGTCTCCAGATGGCCCACGGAGCTGGAGGTGGCTTGGACCCCAGGCCTGAGCGGCATCTACCCCCTCACCCACTGCACCCTGCAGGTGAGATGCAAGCTTTTGTACACTTCACCTCAGCTCCTTTTCTACCCTCATTCATATCCCCTCCCTGGAGACGAGCCCTTCAGTCTCATTCATCTGTTGAGCAGCTACAGAGCCTCCAGTTAAGTTAGAAGGAGTTCATTCTCAATCTTACCTCTATCACTGGCTGGCTATGTGACCTTAGGCAGGTCACTCAACCTCTCTGGGCCTCAGTTCTTTCATCTGTACAATGGAAATAATGGTAGTACTTATCTGATCAGCCTGATGTGAGAATTCAGTGGGTGATTAAGTGAACTAATGAACTTAACATAGTATATTTTCATTAATGGGAATATATATATTAAAACAATATTGTGTTTTTAGTGAAAGTTTAGACAGCAAATTTGGTTCCCTTTGGGTGATCTCCACACATATTGTTCAAGTTACAGTAGCTACATTTTTCCCAATGTGTCAACATTTTCTTTGTTTCTGGTGGTGTTCATTTATGTTCCAGTACTCTAGTTTCCCTGCCCACGATCCACACATTGTTTCACAGTTGCTTTAGAGTAAATGTTGACATTGTGGTCTCGTATAGGTAGGTTTTGATGGAGTCCCACACTCATGGGTCATATTTTTCTTTTCATGGATCAGTCTGCTAGTTCATTGTGATATGATCTCAGTTCAAGGTTGAAATCATACTGGAGGAGTTAGAGAGTCCCAGTAGCTTCAACTAGTGCAGGAAGACAGGGCTTGTTAAAAGTTTGCGTTCTGGCCACTTTTCCCTCCCATTCTGTCAGAATCTGTGTTGTGACCTTGATAGGATCTGTTGGTAGCGGCAGTTGGACACTATCTAGTTTTTCTAGTCTCAAGGTAGATAAGGCTGTGGCCTGTGTTTTAGCCAAAATGGGAGCCCTGGGTCAGCAAGCGTCAGGTTTCCCTTGATCCCCACTCTGGGGGCCCATAGCCAGTGTGCTTCTTCCATCCCAAATCCAGTGTATCTACTTGTCCCTCCCCCTGCCCAGCACCCCCATCCAGCCCAGAACCCTCCACCTGCATCTCTCCCTTCCCAGATCCAACTCCTCTGCCTGAAGCTTCCCTGTCCTGCTGACACCCCACCTGTCCTCCCCTGTCCCCATGCAGACCCCTGTGCCCTCTCTTTCCCCTTTCCAGCCACTCAGCCTGTACCTCCCCAGCCTCCCCTTCCTGCCGGGACCCCTCTGACTTCTCCTCCATTCCTGCCCCAGCGCTTCCACTTTGTCTCTCCTGCTGTAGCCCCTGACCCCTCCATCCTGTACCTCTTTCATCTAGACCTGACCCCTTTGGATCATCCCTGTCTGGGGTTGTGTCAGCTGCCACTGGGGCCTCTGGGCCCCACAGCACAAAGTCAGACACAAAATATACTGATGGTTAAGAATACCTGACAACTAAGATGAGCTGGACTCGGACTCCTGCTGAGAAAATAAAACAAAAGTCACACAGATCTGTAAACACTCAGCCATGTTCAATTCTGAAGTTCTCAGCTTCTGGCAGTTAGAAAGGAGGGTGGGAGTGTTGTGGGTGGAACACAACCGCCTGTAATGGGAGATGATGATAATTAATAATGACCAACTTTTACGGAGTGTTAATTGTATGTGCTAGACCTTGTACCACCGTTTTGCTGCACCACATTGTGGCTCTGTGGGGAAGGGGCTATTTATACACCCATTTTCCAGTTATAGAAACCAAGGTGCAGAGTAGTTAAGCCACCTTCCCAAAGACACAGCCAGGATGTGGATGAGGTGGGCTTTGTACCCTCATCTCCCCAAATCCAGATAATGCTCCCAATTTCCTTAGAAGCCAGTTCAGACCAGTGCTTGGCTCAATAGGAGCTGCGGTGATGTTGTACACAGTGCGTTGGGCTGACTGAAAAACCACCAGTTCAAATTCACCAACTGTTCCATGGGAGAAGGATGAGGAAGTCGGCTTGTGCTAAGATTTGTTGTCATTGATGGTGTCATTGAGTCCGTTGTATCGCATGGCGACCCTGTGAGCAATACATCTGAACTTCGCTTCCCTGCGCCAGCCTCACCATCTCTGCCGTGCTCAGTCAGTCTGTCGTGCTGAGGGGTCTGCCTCTCTTTCTCTGAGCCCCCACCTCTCCCAGCATGATGTCTCTCCAGCCTCCCCCACCACTACCAGTTATCCCATCACAATATCTCTCCAGCCTCCCCCACTGCCACCAGCTGTCCCAGCACAATGTCTCTCCAGCCTCCCCCCGCAGCTATCCCATCATAGTGTCTCTCCAGTCTGCCCCCACCTCTCCCAGCATGATGTCTCTCCAGCCTCCCCTCAGCTCTCCCAGCATGATGTCTCTCCAGCCTCCCCCCCCCAGCTATCCCAGCACAATGTCTCTCCAGCCTCCACCACCACCACCAGCTATCCCAGCACAATGTCTCTCCAGCCTCCCCCACCGCCACCAGCTATCCCAGCACAGTGTCTCTCCAGCCTCGGAAACCTGATGGGAAGTTGCTGTGAGTTAGGATGGGCTCAAAGACAGTGGGTTTGGTTTTGGTTTCCATCTTTTGTGTAACTTTGAAGACTGGGGTTCAGTTTCACCCACCCTAGAAGGTTATCAACTGTTAATCTCCTTATTTCTTCTCAGATCAGGAACTGAGGCCCAGAGAGGGAAAGTGGCTGTGAAGGAGTGAGGCTGAGATTCCATCTCAGAGGTCAGGGCAGACATAGGACACCTCAAATGCCAGGGGTGGGGTCAGGCATCAGCTGCCCCCCACCCACATCCACCAAGTGTCCCCAGGAAAGCAGAAGTGTATCTTCTTCCCTTTCCAGGTCTCACTTCCTGCTGTGCACAGGCTGGGCTGGAGGGTCAAGGCCAGAGGGTCATAGCTCTCCCCTCAAAAAGAGAAGTGGGAGTGGGCCAGGGGGTGGACAGCTGTCTGCATCCATCTCCCCTCTGTCCCACCAGAGGTTCCCCTTTCCACTCGTCCCTGTGGGTCAGAGAGCAAGGATGGAGACAGCCTCAGCCCACTCCTGTCACCACCAGCTGCCTGTCTCCTCCCAAGATCTCATATTCTGACATCTCTTTGGTTCTCTCCCTCTATAAAATGAGGATGAGAAAAGAAATACTACATATAGAGTGGTGAGGAGAAATCAAAGAGCTCATCTGAAAACATGCTTGCTGTTGTACTTGGCACTTAAGAAATGCCAGCTGTTGATATATGACAGTGGGCAAACCAGCTTACCGGCTCTGTGTCATTGAACTTCAGACCAAACCCAAGCTCACTGCCGTCTGTTTCTAACTCATAATGACCCTCCATCAGGTTCCTGAGGCTGTAAATTGTTAAAGGAGGGAGCTGCCTGTCTTCCTCCCACAGAGCAGCTGGTGGGTTTGAACCACCAACCTTTCAGTTATCTGTGCAAAAAGAACACAGTACGTTAAAATCACGCCCTGCCAAACAGAGACTTTGAGCACTATTGTGAGAGACAGAAACTGAAACTCGGAGAAGCTAAGACATTTACAGAAGTAAGTAAGTGGGCAAACCAAACCTAAGACCTAAGGCATCTATCTGGCTTCAGAGCCCACAGCCTGAAGGAGTAAACTCCTCCCCAAAACACTGTGTGACAGTGCGGTTGAGACCTCCTCGGGGTGTGTGGTAGTGTGGTTGGGGGTCTCCCTGAGCTGTGTGGCCCTGGTGGCTTGTGGCACCAAACAGCAGGTCTGTGCCCTTCCACAGCGGCCAACAGCTGTGTTCCCAGCCACCGCTCCCTCCAAGCTGATAGCAGCATTCCTAGGGACCAAGAAGGAGTGCGAGCCTGTGCCTCGCGCGGGATTGCACAGAGTTTGACACGTGTTGCTGGGCAACCTCACACATGCACAAAATAATAAGGACAAACACTCAATATGCATAAGCACACCTCTCAACGCTGGCACACTTCCATCGAGTCCGCTCTGCGAAGCAGGGAGCCCCTGCCGGCATCCCACTTCACAGGTGAGCAAACTGAGGCTCTGGATTTGAACCCAGACGCCAGCATCCACGAACTGTAGCTCGAAGCCAGTCCTGCACGTGCCTCTTTGGACAAAAAAAAAAATACCCAAGTCACTGTCATTGGTTCAATCCGGACTACAGGTGACCTTCCATTGTTTTTCTGTGGCTCTTGAATCTTTGTGAGAGATTTCCCAACTTACTCTTGAAGAGTCCAGTGTGGATTTGAACCATAGCCTCACACAGTCTATGCTGTTATTGTTGCAATTGTTGTTCTACAATATTGTTATCCATCTACTCAAATGGATATTTTCACCAGCTGGAGACACACAAAACAGAGCTCAAGTCACTCCTTCGTGCATGACAAAGTGGTGACCTCAGGCACCTGACTCCATCTCTCCAGGCCTCCGTGTCCTTACCTTGTACGATGCGGACAACCACCGTGCCTACCTCAAGCACTGACAGGAGGGCCAGAGGAGTTCCGATTTATACAGGCCTTACATGGGCCCCCAGCCAGTGTTTGCTAGGTTTTCCCTTTTTTTTCCATTGAGATAGAACATGTAAAGCCTACTCAACGCTGTGTGTCCACCTAGACTGCCTGGCAAGTGTATTCTCTCAGGTAGGAGGCCTAGTGGTGTGGTGGTTAAACGGCTGGTGCTAACTGAAAAGTCAGCGGCCCGAACCCACGAGCTGCTCTGAGGGAGGATGAGGCAATGGGCTTCTGTAAAGATTTGCAGCCCTGGAAGCCCCGTGGGGCGGTGTCACTCTTGTTCCATAGAGTCACTTTGAGTCAGAATTTGACTTGGAGACACTGAGGCCACGGCTCTTTGATGCTCTGTTGTCAGCGGTTGCTCTTGCCTGGGGCTGGAGGGCGTGTACAGTCTGGTGTGTACTTTTATTTATGTTCATTGTCATGGCCGCTATTATCATGATCCTTGAAAAGATCTTTGATGCTGGTTTTGTGCCTGGCAGCTCTTCCGCATAACTGCAGTGCCTTCATTCTCGGAACCACCCTGTACAGCATTCATTCCCATTTTCCAGATGAGGAAACTAAGGCTCAGAGAGCAAAAGAATGTTGCCAGAAGCGGCCTTTTGAAAGTGGTGATGAGGCCATATCTGTGCAGCTGTGTGGGTCCCCATCATCCCAGTCTGGTGCTGGGATGTGTCCACACACCCACAGACGGTAGCATCATAGGGGCCAGCTGTGCGGTACCTTGAGTGACTGTGTGGCTGTGCCCACCTCACCCTCTTCCCTCTCCCCAGGCTGTGCTCTCCGACGACTGGCCTGGCTGGAACGATTGGATTGGCATGTGGGATGGAGAACCTGGCTCCCCAGAAAAACCCCTCACATTGCAAGCCTCTGTGCCCCCCCACCGACTTCGCCTGGCTGGCCTCCACCATCACACCCCTTATTACACCCGGGTATCATGTGCCAGCAGCCAGGGCTCCTCTCCCTGGACCCACTGGCTCCTTGTGGAGACCTCAGAGGGAGGTAAGAAGGGCTGGCAGGGAGAAGCCACTCACTGCCCTGTTGGACCTTTCTGTCACAGCCCCACCCCCAGCATCCTGTGGTCACTGTCTCCTCGCCTCCCAGCTCCCACCTGCCCTCTCCTGTCTCCCCCTCTCCACTCTCAGCTCCTGTGGAGATGTGGGGGCTGAGGGGAGCCTGCATACATATGTCCTCCGGGTGTCTTTTGTATCCTGCCCTCCTCCTTCCTGGGAACTTGGAAGGGGGTCAAGAAGAAGTAAGGCTACCAGCTTCCTCCCCCTCTTCCCTGGTCTCCAGTGCCTCTGAGCCCTCCAGAGAACGTTAGCGCCATGAGGAATGGAAGCCAGGCCTTTGTACGTTGGCAGGAGCCAAGGGCACCCTTGCAGGGCACCCTGTTAGGGTACCGGCTGGCCTATCGAGGCCAGGACACCCCTGAGGTGGGTGCTGCTCACGGGCTTGGGGCAGAGTGGCTAAGCGAGGTGGGCGATGGGGAGGGGCAGCTGGCAGCCAGCCGCGGCTGCTTGTACAGGCTGGGAAGTGCGCAATCCCAGTGATGCCCAAGGAGGCATGTTCTGGGGAAAGTGATATTCACATGCTGGGAAAGCCAGGCCTCGTGGGAAGACGTTAGGGCGTGGCGACTCCTGAATCATTATGAAAGGGTTTTCTTCTTCCCGTAGACTTATAGATTCGGAAAGGAGCCCTGGTGATGCAATGATTAAGCACTCAGCTGCTAACCAAAAGACTGGCAGTTCAAACCCACCATGGTTTCCTTGAGGGAAAAGACATGGCTATCTCTGCTCCTGTAATGAATGACTGCAGCCTAAGAAAGCCTGTCATTTGAGGGGGTTGCCTCTACTCTTATCAGACAGGGTCTTCATGCGTTAGAATCAACCCAGCAGCACCCAACAACATATATCTGGAATCTCTAGATGGTACCATTAAAATGCTTGGCTACTGACAAGAAGGTGGGTGGTTCAAATCCACCTAGATATGTTTCAAAAGAAAAGTTTACCAATCTGCTTCCTCCCCCCTCCACTCCCCCCAAAAAAATCAGTCTGTGAAAACTCTGTGAAAGACAGTTCAACTCTGACAACCATGGGTTTGCCATGAGTCAAAACTGCTCCACGCCAGCTGCATAGACTTAGCTATTTACCGTATTACAGTAAACAGTCGCTTAGCTCCCTCTCCTCATTGCCATGAAGGTCCTGTCTGGGCTGGTGGCAGTCCCAAGGGTGGAGTCATAGGAGTTAAAAGATTAGTGAGATTAAGGTGAAAAGTTAGTCAACAAACTTTTGTTAAATCCACAACAGTATGGTGGAGGTTGGGAAGGGAGAAAAGTGCAACAATGAATGAAGGGAAATCCAAAGTCTCTGTAAACTTTCATTAAAATTAATTTAAAAAGGGAAAAAATCCACAGCACTACTGTGTGCCGAGCACTGTTCCAGGTGGGGACACAGCACAAGATGAAATAAAGGTCCTACTTTTGTGGAGTTGATATTGTAGTGAGTGTGAGGTTGGGGAAATGGAAATGAAAGACTATGCAAGAGAGGAGAGGTGAAGGGGAGGAAGGCAGAGGAGATGGAGGCTGGGGAGGTGAGAAAGCTTGAGAGGAAGGGATGAAGCGCTGAGGGAGAGGGTGAGGCCTCAAAGGTTTGAGAGCTGAGGCTCTGAAGTTCCCTCTGGACCTCCTAGGTGCTCATGGACGTCGGCCTGAAGCAAGAGGTGATTCTGGAGCTTCGAGGGGAAGGGACTGTGTCCAACCTGAAAGTGTCCGTGGCAGCCTACACCGCTGCTGGGGACGGGCCCTGGAGTGTCCCTGTGACCCTGGAGCAGTGGCGCCCAGGTAACTCTGAAGCCATCATCAGCCCCCAAGGACCATGTCTCTCTCCGTGACCCCTAGTTCACTGCATGTACTTTTTAGGCTCTGTTCCTACACCTGAACCTGAGAGCCTCCGTCACTCCCTCAGCTGTGTCCCATTGGTCTTTCTCTCTCTGAGTGTGTCTTCCCTCTGTCCTTTATCCCCACAGGGCAAGGACAGCCAATCCATCAGCTGGGTAAGGGTGTTTGCACCTCTATTTCTTCCTCTCTCCCCTCAGCATCTAGTGAGGGCCTCATCAGCACACTATACTCCTTGCATATCCCTCATGTGGTCCTTCAACTCATCCCTCTACACCTCTACTTCTTGCATTTCCATGGTCCTTGGTGGAGGTGCCTAGAAAGACCCAGGATATCGTAGAAACTCAGTGAATGGTGGGGGGCTAGGCAGATGAGTCAATGGGCTGGTAGATGAATGAATGGATGGGTGGATGGGTACATGGATGGATAGGTGGGTGGATGGATGGACAATTGGGCAAACAGATGGATGAGAGGATGGGTAGCTGGGTGGGTAAATTCATTTAATGGTTGTGTGGATGGGTGGGCTTTCCTCACCCATTTCTTTCTTCCTCTTGAATGTTTTTTTCAACCACTCTAAAGCACTTGTCCTACATACATCTAACTTTCCAAGCACTGTCATGGCCCCTTCTTTTTAAGTCCATCCACTATTAACTATTCTTCACCTCCCTTCCCACACTTCTTTGCTTAATTTTTCCACAAACATCCCACCTTCCTTTCACATTCAACCTGTTATAATAATCCCTTACTCCTCACACCTCTCCCAACCCCACTGCACGTCCACACTCTCTGTCCCTTAGTCAGAAACTGTACACTTTTTACAGGTTCACCATACACCATACACCCACCACACATATGAGAGCTCTGGTGGGTGAGTGGTAAGGAATTGCACTGCCAACACAAAGGCTTGTGGTTTGAATCCCGCAGCTTTCAGTCCAAACTATCCATATTCTACAACTTTCCTTGCACACTCCTTCCACATTATTCCCTAGCTCCTGTGGGCCATCAGCCGTCCCATTCTCTTCACACACTCAGCAGATTCCAATTCTTTATTCTTTACACAAGCACTCTTTTTTGCACTACCACCACTCCCATTCATCCAGTACTTGTCACCAGCTCTTCCTATATATTTATGACATGCCCTCTGCAAACTCCTCTCACACCAGCTGCATGCTCACGAATCTCACTCCTTGTGTGTGAAATCCCTTGAACGCTGCTGAGAACGCCTTTCCCAACTCCGCCAGCACGCCCCCTGCGTGTTCTGTGCCCGTGGCATCCCTTCCCACTCTTGATTTTCTCTCATTCCGTGGCACTCCTTCCACAGCCACCACACAGTCCTCAGAGTACCCTCCCTCATTTGTGTCATGAGCTTCATACTTTGCACTCAACTCTCATTGCTCACACTTCATGTTCTCATCTTAAATTGCAAGCATCGCCGTCCCCTCAGCATCCCAGTCTTCTCACATCCAGGTTCACTCTCCTTGCACAATCATGACACATATCACACACACACACACACACACACACACACACACGCACGCACTCCTGTCCTATGTCATGTACTCACACTGTCCCACACCCATCCAGCCTGCCTGCCATGACTCCCCATTCCACATCATCGCACACCCCTCAAATGTCCACCCCGCTCTTAGCTCCTCCTCCCTACAGGTTTCATGCTCCTTCACGTTCACGCGCTGACGTAACAGTCACTGCTTTCACAGTCAGTCCTCGGTATCCTCAGATATGCAGATGTGCCCATCCCACAACCCATTAAACATGCCCATGCCTATTCTCCAGCCTCTTGTCTCTCCAACGTCATACTGTTGGGGCTCAGGGACCTAGATCTGAAACCTCAGCCATGACCTGTCCCCCATCCCCCCTGACAGTGAGCGAGCCCCCAACCCCTGCCTTCTCATGGCCCTGGTGGTATGTACTGCTGGGAGCAGTTGTGACCGCTGCCTGTGTCCTCTTCTTGGCTCTGTTCCTCATCCACCGCCGGAAGAAGGAGACCCGCTATGGGTGAGTTGGAACCATGCAGGGTGATGTGGAGTAGGGTGGAGAGACAAAGCAGAGAGAACAATGAGCTGGATGGTGTGGGTGAGGTGACCAAGCGCCCTTATGAGGGAAGGACCTGGAGAACAAATGGAACATAGAAAGTTATATGGTTGGCAAATGCCAGAGGAGAGAGAGTAAGTAGGGCCTGTGGTTGGAATGGTGCTCAATTTTACTGCTGGGGGATAGAAGGGCCCATATGATTCTTTCCTACTCTCACCTTCCCCTCATTTCCCCCAGGGAGGTGTTTGAACCAACAGTGGAGAGAGGTGAACTAGTGGTCAGATACCGCGTCCGCAAGTCTTACAGTCGCCGGACCACTGAAGCTACTTGTAAGTGAACCCTGTGCCTCCCAATCTAGGTCTGGGGGTAAGGAGTACAGAGACTTGAGCCTTCAGGGCCTCTTTAGAAGCATGAGCCAGAAAATTCCGAAGGCTTTGCGTGCTAGAATCTTAGGATTGCAGACTCTAAGCATAACAGAATTGGAATAACAGAATTGTGGGCATAACAGATCTCAGGAACTAAACCCCAGAGTCGAGAGAATATAAGAATGAGGTAGCAACGATGATGAGCTGGTGAAAATGAGGACAAGGAGATGGTGATGTCAGAGGATGATGATGTGATCGGAGAGGACAAGACAAGGTGATGGTCCTAACATGATAGGAGGGTGAAGTAATGATGCAATTGATGATGAGGTGATGTCGAGATGGTAACGGAAACGTTGATGTGATAGAGATGATGCTCTGAATGCGATGATGAGGTGATGATGGCAAGATGATGATGATGATGATGATGATGATGATGATGGTGATGATGTGATGGGTCAATGGTGACAGTGAGAATCTTGACAATTACAGAATCTTAGAACTGTAGGTTCTATTTATGTCAGAGAGTTGTAGAGTCATGGAACATCCCCGCTAAGGAGGAAACTCAGAGGCCACCCAGTCAAAGCTCATTTTCCCAACAATGGAAACAAAAATCAGGAAAGAAGAGAGAGCGTTAGGTCTCTTTATAACACACAGGGAGAAGGCTGCTGGGGCCCTGGGGAGAAGTTTGGAAAGGGGAGGGGAAAGATGTTTGAGAGAAAGAAGACTAAGCAGGAGGTCAGAGCGATCTAAGGGGATAACACACAGCAGTCGTTCTCAAAGTGCATTCCCTGGGGTCCCAAGGCCTTTGCAAGGGGTCCACAAGGACAACACTATTTTCATAATAATATGAAGATGTTATTTGACCTTTTCATTTTCATTCTCTTATGAGTGTTTAGTGGAGTTTTCAGTTTTCCAGATACGCCTTCATATGGGATGATGTCATCATTCTGGTGGTTGAAGGATCATGTGTTTGTGTATTCTTGTGATTTAAAAAAATTCTCCATTTGAATTTTGAATAGAGCAAATATCTATCCACCTCTCCACCTAGCTCACACAAACGGCAGCTCTTTATGTCTCTCAGTAATTTTAAGAATGTAGAGGGGACCCAAGGCCAACAAGTTTTAGAACTGTTGCTATACAGCAGTGGGAATGGATGGCTTACGAATCCATGGCAACAACCTTGCATTACATAGACAGAATATTAAGTGAAAGAAATCAGACATAAAGAAAACATACGATGTGGTTCCACTTTAATAACATTCAAAAAAGATAAAACAACGGTAGAGAAGGCATGAAGTTGATTGCCTGCCCAGGATAGCAGGCTAGGGTCCCTTTTTGACCTGGGTGTTGGTTCAACAGCTGTGTGTGGTTGTGAAAATCCACTGAGGTACTCGCTTGTACTTCATGCATATTGTACTGGTATAAAAAAAGTTAAGTACTTTTAGAGACTAGTACAGTAGGCACTGGGAGTTCTGGCAGCCTAGTAACAAGAAGCTGCGGCATGCGGTTCAAGGCCACCAGTTGCTCCGCGGGAGAAAGATGAGCAATCTCTTCCCGTGCGGTTAACTGTGTCAGCTATGGGTCGGCTCCGACTCTATGGTACACAACAACAACAACAACAACAGTGGGCGCTGGCCAATCAGGGGACCCAAAGGAGCAAGATTTTGTGAAGATTTTGTGAAGGGGGAAGGCTCAGGGGGTTCAGAGGAGGAGCTCAGGTGCTCAAGACAGTGGCTATTTTTTGAACCAATGCAAAAGTATTTCAATATTTTAACAATGGGTACACCCCATTGTTGTTGAGTGTCAACACTGCTCCATGGCTCTGTCCGCTGCCACCCTCCATGCAGTGAACAGCCTGGGCATTAGTGAAGAGCTGAAGGAGAAGCTACGTGATGTGATGGTGGACAGGCATAAGGTGGCCCTGGGGAAGACCCTGGGAGAAGGTGAGTCCCCCCAATGATGTTCCCTCCCACTACACACACACCCCTCGGACCTTGAGGCCCTTCACTTGTCCTCCACCACAATCACACACACACGCACACACATACACACACACACACACAAATGCAGTCCTTTGGGGACCCTGAGATCTATGAGTCCCTCTCGTCCTCCACAGGAGAGTTTGGAGCCGTGATGGAAGGTCAACTCAACCAGGATGACTCTGTCCTCAAGGTGGCTGTAAAGACGATGAAGAGTGAGTCAGTGCATGCATGCACGGCCGTGGTGGACCCCCTCCCTTAACCCCGCCTCTCCCTTACATTGTAAGGAGGTTGTTGTTAGATGCCCTTGAGTCAGTTCAGGCTCCACGTGGCCCTGGGCCCTGTGAATAATTGGGTCTTGCCCCACACTGTGCTGGTCTCACCATCTCTGACACACTGACATCTCTGAGCCCCTTGTAACAGTCACAGTGTCAATCCATCTTGTTGAGAATCTCCCTCTCTTTCACTGACCCTCCACCTTCCCAAGCATGATGTCCTTTTCCAATGGCTGGCCCTTCCTAACAACAGCCCTAAAATATGTGAGGTGAAGTTTCACCGTTTTTGCCTGTAAGGAAAACCCTGGCTGCACTTTCCCCAAGAGTAAGGAAGTAGGAGAGCAGAAGTGTTAATAGAGCCTCAACTGAAGGGATTTAGCATAGGAAGCTTAGCAGAAAAGTGTAGGAAGAAATGAAGGGCAGAAAAAGAAGGTGGTGTTACCGGAACACACAGGCCAGGGACCTCTGGCGGAATTTGAGACAGTGGAGTTGGGAGCTACCCTAGGAGAGCTAGAAGCACTGAACGAACACAGTCACTGCCAAGGCGGTAGTGGAAAGAGAAAAGGTGACATAGAAATACGCTGCTTGTCCTTTCTTCCTATCTATCTATTTGCCAATTTCCCAGCAAGAACCCAGTAAGGAAGAAGCCTGGGAAGTAGAGTTTTCAGCTCTGCCACCGCCACCATGATATGTAGCAAAGCAGGCAGAGCACCCCTGCCTTCACCACTTACCACCTCTGAGATCTTAAACTCTCTCTCTCCCTAAGCCTCTTTCTGAGGGAGAAAAAAAGCTCCTTCTAGGGAAAGCGATCATAGTGTTCCATCTTTGTAGGCCTGTTATGAGGCAAAATACTGGAGGTGACGTACGATGCAGGCTATTATTGTGGATCTCAGCTGATGGCCTAGTGGTAAGGAGCAGTGCTTCCAACTCAAAAGCACACAGTTCAAATCCACCAGCTTCTTTGCAGGAGAAAGAAGGGTGAGCTCCTTCTCCATAATTTACTACCTCTGAAAACCCACTGGAGGGTGACTATGAGTCAATTCCAACTCGCTGGCACACAACAACAGCCAGAAGGCAGGATGCCAACCAGAGTGATATACAGCACAAGAAGTCCAGAGCCTAGTCCTGTTCACACAGGGAAAGAGAAGCAGGCAGGGGCAGGCTGTGATTAGAAGTGAGGACGGAATGAGCCCAGGAAATAAAATCTTGAGCTAGGGAATCGTCATCTTCTCATCCTTTCTTGAGCACCTTCTGTGACCAGGTAATGTTCTCCATCTAGGTCTGTGCAACTTTGGGAAGTCACTTTGCCCCTGTGAACCACAGTGTCCTGATCTGTAAGACCCAAAAGCAAGCTCATTGCTATTGAGTCAATTCTGACTCCTAGCAACCCCATGGACAGAGTAGAACGACCCCATTGGTTTCCAGATGAAGATAAAGCTGTCATCTTTACAGAAGTTGACTGCACTCTCTTGGGGCTGCTGGTTCAAACTGTCAAGCAGTTAAGTGCTTAAGCACTGTGTTACCAGAGCTCCATAAAAGGCGATGATAATGGTCCTATCATGCAGGGGTGTTGGGAATATGCTGAGGAGCAATCTAGGAAAGGGACCTCAGAGCTAGAGGGCTTGGGTTTGAATTCTGTCTGTTCTATGCTGTGTGTAGTTAGGGAGCTCTGGTGGTCTCGTCTGCAGGGCATAGCGAGGCCACACGGCTCTGAGGCCACACAGCTCCGGTGCTCAGAAGCCACCAGCCACTCTGTGGGAGAAAGTCGGGCAGGCTCCTCCCACACAGACTCAGAAACCCAGTGGAGAGTCCACTCTGAGTCGCTTCTCTCTTGGTGGTCTTTGAGGGTTTTTTAATCTGAGTGTACCCTTAACCAGTTACCTTAACCTTCCCATGCCTTCATTTCCTTACCTGTAAAAAGAGGATAATAAATGTAGCTGCTCAGAGAATGGGTCAGTTGATAGATACAAAACATTGCATATGTCACCTTAGCCTTCAGTGACATTTGATGAAGATGAAGGAGGAAGAGAGCAAATTCCTCTCTCTTCCCTTAGCCTTTCTCACCTCCTCTCCTCCTTGACAGTTGCCATCTGCACAAGGTCTGAGCTGGAGGATTTCCTGAGTGAAGCTGTCTGCATGAAGGAGTTCGACCACCCCAACGTCATGAGGCTCATTGGTGAGTTGTTTCTGTTGGGTGTTCTTGGAACCTACCCATAGCGGACCCCTTCAGTGGGTTTTCAGAGGCTTTAAATCACAGGGGAGGAGATTGCCCATCCTAAGGGGAGAGAGGGCCAGATTGGTCCATAGAGGCAAGACCAGAGAGGACACCCACCGCTCCTTGCAGCGCTGGGAACACCAACCCTGCAGGTCTCCTGATCCCTCCTCCCACCAGGATCAGCAAACTCCTCCCTCTTACTCTCTCCCAGCCTGGAATGTAACCTCTGACCTTTCCCAGAAATAGCTGAGGTCCCCAGGAGGGCTCCGGAAACATCCCTGGGAACTGCCTGGAAATGATTTTTCTGAAGCTCCGTCCTCACCCCCTCCGCCTCCCCCACACGGAGGAAGGATTTTAGAGGGAGGGGGACAGGGAGCTGGGGTCTAGCTGGGAGAGTAGCTTGGGTTTCTAGTGGGTTGGGTTGGGTTGGGTTGGGTTGCTGATGCAGACTGACTGGAGACCTGGGGGGTCTCAGGCGTCTGTTTCCAGGGCTCTGAACGAGAGGGCTTCCCAGCTCCTGTGGTCATCTTGCCGTTCATGAAACACGGAGACCTCCACAGCTTCCTCCTCTATTCGCGGCTTGGGGACCAGCCAGTGGTGAGGGGTGTTTCCCAGCCCAGGCTTCATTAACTGGGCACCGACTCAGACCCTGGGAAGACCAATGTCACAAAGAGCTTGCTCTCTGGAAGCTCACCTTCTGGCAGCCCAGGCAGTTCACACACCAATCAGCGGGATGATTCTAGGGCTGAGAAAGACACAGAGGGCTGATTAAGTCTGATGGCAGGACACCAGGCAGTTTTTCTGGGTGGCCAGGGAAGACGCCACTGAGGAGGAGACCTTGAAGGCCCAGCTGTGGAGGAAAGGGAGACAAAGGCGAAGGAGTAATCCTAGCGGAGAGAACAGAGGAGCAAAAGCTCGAGGTTTGATAAGGGGCAGAAAGGAGCCTTCTGGCTGAAAATGACTTGGGATGTATGCCAAAGGCAAGAAGGTGCGAGAAAAAGTCAGAGAGGGAGGCAGGAAGCCATTGCACAGTGACAAGCGGCTCAGCTGCTGCTATCAAAAGGCTGACGGCTCAAGTCCACCCAGAGGCACCTTGGAAGAAAGTCCAGGAACAACTTCCACAAAATCACCCATGAAACGACCCTGTGGCGCTCGTTTCTGCTCTGGCATACACACCATGAGTTGGAATTGACTCAACAATAAAGTCTTATTTTGTCCAGTTTTCAAAGTCATGGGATGGGCTCCATTTTCTTTTCAGAGGCAGGGCAAGCCATTGCAGAGCAGGGCACATAGGAAGGGAAGGAGAAAGAGGGGAGGTTGTGTCTCAGGGTCTGTGCTGATGTCCATTCCTCCCGCCCCAAATCCCACCCCACCCCCCGGCCCCCACAGTTCCTACCCACTCAGATGCTGGTGAAGTTCATGGCAGACATCGCCAGTGGCATGGAGTACCTGAGCACCAAGAGATTCATACACCGGGACCTGGCCGCCCGGAACTGCATGTGAGTGAGAAGCCTCCCCCACCAGGGGTCCCATCACCCAGAGGAACCCCCACTCTCCTTCCTGGGATGGGAGGACCAGAACTCAGGACTGGGAAAGCATGTCAACACAGAATCAAGGAAGACTTCCTGGAGGAAGTGGGTTCCACGTGAAATCGTAAAGATTTGTATTTGGATGTTATCTTAGTTCCCTGGGTCTTCAGGATAGCATAAGCGGGGCTTTATGAATAGAAAATGTTCTCCTGAGTCAGGAAACTAGAAGTCCAGATTCAAGGCACTAGCTCTGAGGGAGACACTCGTCACTTCCAGTTTGTCTTTCTTGGCTCCTCGGCCATCAACCTATGACATCAGTTTTCCCATCTGTGCTGGTAGTGTATTGCTTAAAGCACTTGGCTGCTGATTGAAAGTTTGGTAGTTTACAGCCACCAGCTGCTCCACAGGAGGAATGTCGCAGCCCGATTCATTCTGTTTTTTCAGTCACTTGTTTTGTTGGACAATGACTCAGGGTAACAGAAGAATTGATGCTTTTAGGTTGTGGTGTTGGTGAAGAGTCCTGACTGTATCCTATGAACTGTAAAAACAAGTATGTCTTAGAGAAAGTGCAACAAGCATGCTCCTAGAGGCAAGGATGATGAAACTTTGTCTTACACACCTTGGTCATGTTGTCAAAAGGAGCCAGTCCTTGGGAAAACATCATGGTTGGTAAGGTGGAGGGTCAGCGAAGGAGAGGAAGGTCCTCAACAAGACGGATTCACACAGGGACTGTAATATTGGGCTCAAGGCTATCTGGGATGATGAGGATGCTATCCACAGGGCTGCTGTGGGCTGTGGTCGGCTCGACAGCACCTGACATTTCTTTCATTGAAGCAGCAGCTCTGGTGGTGTAGTGTGTGGGGTGCGGCTAGCCAAATCCCTGCTTATTGCGACAGCTAGAATCTTCCACAGCTCTGTGGAGGAAAGATGGGGAGCCTCCTCCCCCTAAATTTAGTCAGAAGCCATCTAGAGGGTCACTGTGAGTCAGAACCAACTCAGCAACAGTGACTTTGAATTTTCAATTAAAAAATTTTATCCTGGTGAAATATAGGAAGCCAAACATTTCAACCACTTACGCTTGTATTATTAGCGTTACCTATATTCATCACAGGGGATGGTGAAGAGATTGAGATTGTTCACAGCTTTAGTTTGCTTGGCTCCACAGGCAACACTCTTGGCACCAGTAGCCAGGAAATTAAAAGACGTATTGCCATGGGAAAGTCTGCTGTAAGGGACTTTTCCAAAGTACTGAAGAGCAATGGTGTCTCTCCGGAGACTAAGGTGTACCTGATACAGGCCATGGTCTTTGCAATCACTTGTTATGCATCAGAGAGTTGGACAATGACTAGGGATGATAGAAGGCGAATTGATGCCTTTGAGCTGTGGTGCTGGAGAAGAGTATTGAGTGTACAATGGACTGCTAGGAAAACAAACAGATTCTTCTTGGAGAGGGTTAAACCGGGCTGCTCCTTGGAGGCAAGGATTCTGAGGCTTCGTCTGACATACTTTGGACATGTTGTAAGGAGGGACGTTATGCTTGGGAGAGTGGAGGGACAGCACAGGAGGGGAAGGCCCTCTATGAGGTGGATTGATTCAGTGACTGGGGTAATCGGGATGGGTGTATCGGAAACAGTGCGATTGGCACAGGATAGAGCAGAGTTTAGGGCTGTTATAATAGTGTCGCTATGAGTCGCAAGCAACTCGACGGCACATAACAACAACAACAACATTTTCATCAGGTTGTGCAACGACTACCATGATCCATTTTCATCACTCTCAAATACTCTGTCACTTAAGCAAAATCCTTCTACTCGCCCTTGTTGTTGTTGTTAGGTGCCCTTGAGTCAGAACCAGCTCCCTGCTGACCCTCCGGTAGGTTTTCAGGGACTGTAAATGACACAGGAGGAGACGCCCATCTTTCTTCCTCACAGCAGCTAGTGGATTTGAACCACGTGCCTTCAGGTCCACAGAGTAACTCCTTACCCCTAGGCCACCAGGGCTCCCTCCTCACCCCAGATAACCACTGGATAATAAGCAGAACAGGGGTTTCTATTCCTTGGCCTATTCTTGAGAGTCACACGTGTGGAACTGCACAAAGAGCCCGAGTGGGGACATGTGTGATGTTTTAGGCTGCTGGTCAAAAAGTCAGCAGTTAGAATCCACCTGCCACTCACTCCATCAGAGGAAGCTGGGGTGTCTGCTCCAGCTGAGATTTACAGCCTCAGAGACCCAGTGCAGGACCACTTGGAGGTGGAATTGATTCCCTGGAAGTAGGGTCAGTTTGGTTTTAGGAATTACACAATATCATCCTTTTGTTTTCATGTTACATGTATCTCCAAGATGTCTTTTGTAGCTAGCTTTTCCCTTGATTCAGGATCTAATCAAGGGTCCCATTTTGTATTTAGTTGTTTTGTCCATTAAAAAAAAAAAAACAAAACACACACACCAAACCCCACAACAGCCTACCAAACTCGGTGGCTCTTTATCCCACTCAGGAGGAGACTGCCCACATTCCGCCTTGCACAGCAGCTAGCAGATTTGAACTGCTGACCTTCTGGGTAACAGGTCACTGTGTAAGGCACTTTCTCACCAGGGCTCACTGTTACGTCCATTTCCTCAATCTCTTTGTTGTCTTCAAGTTTGAACCAACTCATAGTTGACTTTTGTCTTTCTCGTGGAGCAGCTGGTGGGCCGGAGCTGCCAGAGGCGTGGCCTTCCGGGTTAACAGCAAGATTCCTATGTAGCGTGGTCATTGTTGTTGTTCTTGTGTGTCTGAACCAACCCAGAGCCGACCCTCCAGCCATTCAATCACATGGGAGAAGACTGCCTACCTTTCTCTGTGCAGCAGTGGAAACTTTGAGCTGGTGGTGCAGCTCCTCACCACTAGGCCACCAGCACTCCCTTAAGTCTCTTTAGTCCCCTTTAATCCAGGATAGGCTCCACCACCTTTTTTTGCATTTTTATGGCATATTCTTTTAAATAGGGTAGCTTAGTTTCCTGCAGGGGATCCCCATTCACAATATATCCATGCTTGTGCCTTGTTCCTCTGTCCCCTGTGAACTGAAAGATAGATCTAACAGCTTGGATAGATTCCGGTCAACATGGAAATTCCTTTCTTTTTGTTAATTTAGACTGATGCCTGCCAAAATCTTAATGTAACAGTGATACAAGCCCCCATTGTGCATCTGCAGAGTTTTTGCTAAATTGTTACAATATTCCTTCCCACTTGGCAGCTGCCCCACTACCCCACGTGCTCCCCTCCTATCACCCTAGATCCCTTGGCATTTCCCCTGGAACCCTTCAGCCTGCTCTGGACCCAGCAGTTAAAGACGTCAAACTATTTCCTTCTCCCACCCTGGACTGGAGTAAGGGTTGAGGAGATAGATCCCCATCCCACGTGGCCAGAATCAGTTCCCATAGTATGTTTTGGTTTTCAGAAGTGTATTGCCAGACATTTCTTCCGGGACACCTCCAAGTGAACTCAAACCTTCAACTTTGCGGCGAGCAGTTGAGTGCTTTTTACCATTGCATCCCTCAGGGACTACAGTTAAAGGGCGACCCCTGGCCGATCAAGGACTGCCGGTTCGATTCGGAATGGTCATTACCCTAGCCTTTTAGCCCAGCTTGTGGTTGTTAAGTCCCATCAAGTTGACTGCGACTCATAGCCAGGCCGTGAGTAACATATCTGAACCTCATGCTGTCCTGCACCAGCCTCCCGTGTCTGGTATGTTTGAGCGCATTGTTACAGTCACTGTGTCAATCTATCTTTTGAGGGTCTTCCTTCCACCCTTCACCTTTCCTAGGACAACACGGTCAACGTGTGCGAGGCCACGCGTCACTGTCCTTGCCTCTAAGGAGCACCCTGGCTCCGCTTCCTCCAAGACGGACTCAACACTTCTTTTAACAGACCATGAGATACTCACTCAGTGCTGCTGTCCAACACCACAAGTCATCCTTATTCATTGTCTAACTTTCAGATGCAGAGGAAGTAACTGAATAGTGTCCTGGCTAAAAATCATCAATTCTTAGGACAATAGAGTCCCAGTAAATCAGAGTCAAGAATCAAGGAATCTTCTCTTTATAGAATGCATAAAAAACCAGCAAAGGCAATCTATGCTGTTAGAAAATGAGGACGATGGTTGATCTTGGGGAGGTGGTTACTGGAAGAGGGCCGGGATAGGGAGCATTTGCTAACATATTTCTTTATATCTAATACTTTAAAACATTGGCGTATATTAGCTGTATACTAAAATAGTACATTAGCTGTACACTAAAATACAGCCACCATTTGTCTGTAGTAATGTGGTGGTTTGCACGCTGCTGTGATGCTAAAAGCTTTGCCGCTTGTATTTCAAATACTGGCAAATTCCCCCGGCTTATCTCCCTAGTAGCCTGGAGTTTCCACTAAGATATGTTCATCGTCATCCCACTGCCTTCCAGCCAACTCCAACCAAGGGGAAGCTCCAGAGGCCGTGCATCTTAACAGCAAGAGACTGCCTCATCTTTCTCAGACCACAGATGGGCCTCAAACTGCTGACCTTTCCATGAGCAGTTCAACACTTAATCCATTATCCCAGCAAGGCTCCTTGTTAATCATCACAGCAGCTTTCAAGCTCCCCAGGCAGGAGACAGCTGTACATGAGGTGGAATGACTGGGAATTGAACCCAGGTCCCAGAGGAAGCTGCCAACAAGCCACCCCTTTCTTGGTCAGATAAATGCAGTCATGTAGTGTGTACTCTTAAATTTCTCTTTTACCAAAACAGCAAGAAGTGAAGCAGCTTTCTCCCCCAAGGGTGGAATGGGGTGAGACATATTCCAAGCTCCAAGCTGGACGGCTGGGGCTCGAGAGCTAAGGTGGGCTTCCTGGTGGGGGTGGCCACCCCATGACCCTGCTCTTTCTCCCAATTCTGACAAGGCTGAACGAGAACATGTCCGTGTGTGTGGCGGATTTTGGGCTCTCCAAGAAGATCTACAATGGGGACTACTACCGCCAAGGACGCATTGCAAAGATGCCGGTCAAGTGGATCGCCATTGAGAGCCTGGCCGACCGCGTCTACACCAGCAAAAGCGACGTGGTGCGTGTGCCTCCAATGGGACGCTAGATTCCCACAGGCAGGAGCATAGCCTGCTCCTCTGATGCCGCATCCAGACTACCGTGGATGCCAGCTCTACCTCGGGTGCCCGCACCACCATGAATGCTGGCTTCGCCCGGGGTGCCCGCACCACCATGGATGGTGGCTCTGCCTGGGGTGCCCGATTCACCCTGGATGCTGGCTCCTTCCAGGGTGCCCGCACCACCTTGGATGCTGGCTCCGCCCGGGGTCTCCGCCCCACCGTGGATGCTGGCTCCGCCCGGGGTCTCCGCTCCACCGTGGATACTGGCTCCGTCCGGGGTCTCCACTCCACCATGGATAGGGGCTCTCTGCCCGGAGTCTCCGCTCCACTTTGGATGCTGGCTCCTCCCGGGGTCTCTGCTCCACCGTGGATGGGGGCTCTCCGCCCGGGGTGTGCACTCCACCGTGGATGGGGGCTCTCCGCCCGGAGTGTCCACTCCACCGTGGATGCTGGCGCCTCCCGGGGTCTCTGCTCCACCGTGGATGGGGGCTCTCCGCCCGGAGTGTCCACTCCACCGTGGATGGGGGCTCTCCGCCCGGGGTCTCTGCTCCACCGTGGATGCTGGCTCTGCCCAGGGTGTCCACTCCACCGTGGATGCTGGCTCCGCCCAGGGTGTCCACTCCACCGTGGATGCTGGCTCCGCCCGGGGTGCTGGTGCCACCACAGACGAACCACTGTAAATGCCGCTCAGGTGTGGGTGCAAAGCCTCCTGGGCACGAGTAGGCTCCCTTGCGAGACAGCCTTTCCACTTAACTAAGCATGTCTGGGGGCATGGTGGGGTCTGTGAACTGTCATGTGTTCCAGCTGAGGATCCAGGCCCACATGCACATGGAGGCAGGTTCATTTCCAGAGGTGGATCTTGTTAGGTTAGAGGCAGGGTGAGAAGGCCCGCATGCACTGGCCCTCTTCTGGGGTGTATAGTGGCTATGGAAGTTACCCCCCTGAGACCATGTGTCCGCGAGCTGTTTAAAGGTGTGCACATGTGAGCACACCTACACACACGTTACCTGTACATGTGTGTAGCTGTGCCCCGTGTCCCCTGGAGTAATGACGGCTGTGTAAGCACGTGCACATAAGTACGGGTGCGCCCAGGAACCCGTGTGTTGGCAGTGCCTTTGGGGAAAAGCCCCTTACTCTCTCCCACTCTGCCCTCCACAGTGGTCCTTTGGGGTGACGATGTGGGAGATTGCCACTCGGGGCCAAACCCCGTACCCGGGCGTGGAGAACAGCGAGATTTACGACTACCTGCGCCAAGGAAACCGCCTGAAGCAGCCCGTGGACTGTCTGGATGGACTGTGAGCACATTTGGAGCTCTCCCCAAATCCTAGAATTAACTGCAAATCCCTGAGGCTCCCACCTGGCCCTGAAATAGCCAACCAAATCTATTGCTTTTGAGTCAAGTCCAACTCAGAGTGAACCTCCACTGGGTTTCCAGGAGGAGACTGCCCATCTTTCTCCTGAGAAACAGCTGGTGGATTTGAACCACTAACCTTTGGGTTGGCAGCTTGACAACAGGGCCCCTTTGCATCTACCTTCCCTAGGGCCTTTTGGAGAGACTTCATGTCACTCTCCTTACCTTCTCCCAACACTTAAACCTCCTCTGAGAAGTACTCAGGGTGCATGTACTCATGGCATGAAAAAGAGAGTATAACACATCCAGCACAGCGTAGTTGGAGGGCGTTTCGCTGCCAACCCAAAGGAAGAAGAGGCAGTTAGAGTACAGCAGCTGCTCCCTGGGAGAAAGATGAGCAATTTCCTCTCGTGCAGTTTACACCCTCTGAACACCTGCTGGAGGGTCAGCTAAGACCAACTAGGGGTAAAGATGACATTGCTTGAGTTAGAAGACACTGAGGTCTCAGCCCCTTCTTGGGTGCTCCAAAACCCGAGGGAAGTGAGACCAATAGCCAACGCTTCTTCAGCACCTCCAGGAGGCACGATTTTAGGTGGTACTTTCCCCGTATTAACTCCTCCAGTCCTCAAGTAAATCCCAGTCATTGCTGCCAGGTCGATTCCAACTCCTGGCACCCCATGTGTATCCAAGTGGAACTGTGCCCCATAACATTTTTTTAAAAAATTTATTCTTTCATTGTTCACATTTTCTTCCCTCCCCTTCTGTACCCCCCTCCTCTAGTTCCCTTGTTCCGAATTGTTGTCATACACATAATACTTAATCATATAGTGTCACTGTGAGTCATACTCGACTCAATGGCACCTAACAGTAACAATCATCTACAAAAAGAGTGGACAGATAATGAACTCTCCATAAGGTTTTCAGCGGCTGATTATTATTTTTTTTTTCTGAAGTAGTTTGCCTGGCCTTGCTTTTGAGGTACCTCTGGATGGACTTAAGCCACCAACCTTTCCGTTAGCAGCTGAGCATCACCTAGGTAGATAAGGAAAGAAAAACAAAACCCCAAACCTCACTGCCATCAAGTCAAGTCTGATTCTGCTGGAGGAAATAGCTCATCTTTCTCCTGAAGAGCAATTGGTGGATTTGAACCTCTAATCTTCCAGTTAGCAGCCCAATATATAAAGCACTCTATGCCACCAGGCCTCCTTGTTATGTTGTTATGTGCCATCGAGTCAGAACAAACAGCTGACCCACCAGAGGGTATACAGAAGCTGTAAATCACATGGGATGAGACTACCCATCTTTTTCCTGTGGAGCAGCTGGTAGATTCAAACCACATGCTTTTGGATTGACAATGCAACTCCTTACCACTAAGCCACCAGAGTTCCCTACGAGGCCTTCTTAGGTACTTTTCCTACTTTACATATGAGAAAAACGCCTCCAGTTGAGATAAGTGAGATACTTGCTAAAGGCTGCCTACCTTAAAGAAAGAAAAAAAAGGCATTTACTACCTCAGTTGCTGAAGGCCAAGGGTCTGGGTAGGATGACTGGAAAGTTGATTGTGGCTCAGGATCCCTGATGAAGTGGTCATGATGTCAGCCAGCGCTGTCTTCATCTGAAGCTGGGCCAACAAGGGCCATTTTCAAGGAGGCTGATTGATTTGGAGGCCGGAGATCCATTTCTCATGTGGATTGTGAGGAGATCCATTCCCACCGTGTGGATTCCTCACCACAGTGCTGTCCGAGCTTCCTCGTGTCATGGCGGCTGACTGTCCCTAGAATGAGGAAGCCACGATGCTTTCATGAGCTAGTTTCAGAAGCTGCACAATCTCCTGCCTCATTCTAATTATTTGAACCGTTGCGTACACTCAAGGGTAGGGGAATTAGGTTTCATCTTTTGAAAGGAGCGCTGTCAAAGAGTTTGCAAATATATTTTGAACCAACACAGCTTGCAAGTGAAGGTGTCAAGCTTTGTTGCCAGAATCTCTTCTGGGGAGCCACACAGGCAAGCTCTGCTGTACCAGACCCTCACTGGGAGTGTATCTCATACCCAGAGAGAAGTTTTCCAAAACCTTCACTAGCTCCTCTGTCTCCCAGGAGCCCCCTCAGAAACTCCAGAGGAATCACCACAGCTGCACACCCAAATCGCTGAGATGCTCTCCACTTCCCCACTGGCCCCCAGTGTCTTAGATGCCCCAAGACTCGTAGAATCATCCTGACAAACCCATCACTCAGTCTCCCACCTCTCACTTTATTGCTCTAGGTATGTCCTGATGTCTCGTTGCTGGGAGCTAAACCCCCGGGACCGGCCAAGTTTTGCTGAACTTCGGGAGGAGCTAGAGGACACGCTGAAGGCTCTGCCTCCCGCCCAAGAGCCTGATGAGATCCTCTATGTCAACATGGATGAGGGTGTGGGTCATCCTGAACCCCCTGGAGCTGCTGGAGGAGCTGACCCTCCCACCCAGCCTGGCCCTAAGGATTCCTGCAGCTGTCTCACTGCGGCAGAGGTCCACCCCGCTGGACGCTATGTCCTCTGCCCTTCCACAGCCCCCGGCCCCACCCTACCTGTCGACAGGAGCTCCCCAGCACTCCCAGGGCAGGAGGATGGAGCCTGAGATGGCCCTCCACCTGGGACCCCCTCTCAGGACCCAAGCTAGGCACTGCCACTGGGGGATCCCTCTCCCCTGCCACTTTCCTACCCTAGGCCTTTCCTCCAACTGCCGCCCTTTCTTCCCACCCACTTGTCCTCTATCCTAGACACAGCTTTCTCCTCTGGATCTTGGCATCTTCATCTGTAAAAGGAAATTATTGGACTGCAGTCCCTATGGGTCCTCCCAGGTCTAACATTCCAAGATTCTAGGGTCCAAAGATTCAAAGGCTCTAGATTTCAAAGATGCTCTGAGTCTTTGGTTCTAAGGACCTTAAATTCCAGTCTCCAGTTCTAAAGTTCTAAGGTTCTAGGCAGAGATCTGGAGACTCTGAAATCCTACAGCTCTAGATGTTCTGGTTCTGATTTTTGATAAGGGTCCAAAGTTTTAGGTTCTAACATGATGAGTAAGATCTCAGGATCTGAGTTCTAAGATCTAAGGTTGTGATTCAGATCTTATTTTTCTAGGATTCTGAATTCTTAGAGCTTACGGTTATAATTATTTAATATTCTACAATTCTAGACATGGACATTCTAAAGCCTAATATTCTAAGACTCAATGTTCAGAGACTTCAAAGTTTTACGCTTTCCATTTTTTAACATCCTAATGGTAATAGTAATATATTAATGGTAATAAAACCCAAGACATAATGATCTTGGATTCTCTTATGAGAATCTGGATCCTAAGGTCCAAGATTCTAGAATCTACAATTAAAAACTTTCAAGAGTCTAAATATGGAAGTTCTAAGATCTAAGGATGATATGATGTTCTAAGAACCAAGAGCCAGTGGCTAACATTCTAGATCATATACCTAAAGATTCTAGTTGTTAAACTCTACAGTGTTAATGTGTCTGTTCTATTCAAAGTACTAGATTCTAGTGTTCCACAATTCTGGGTTCTAAGACTCTAAATTTCTAAGGTTGTCACAGTTGTAAACTTCTAAGACTCTAGAAGCCAAAGTTCTAATTGTGTTTAATGTTGGACATCTCCTGGCCCTGTGCTACATTCTATCTTTTTTAGAATTTTAGTTCAAGATCCAAGTAGCCACATTGTTAAAATTTTTTAATTCTAGGCAGAGTAGCTGTAAGACAATGCATAGACCAAGTTTCTGAGATCCTAAAGGTCCAAAGGTCTAGAATATGAGTACAATTTCAAGATCCTAATCTTATTGTATTCTTCTGTGTGCCCCTCCTCAAACCTCTGCTTCCTACTCCCCTCACGTGGGGGTGTACCACCCTCAAGCCTGTGCAATGCATTGAGGATGTCTCTTTTCCCCCAGGGGACAATCTCTCCCTTTTTGGGCCATGCTGCCCCCCTGAGCCAGTCTCTTATCCCACCTGTACAGAGTGTGGATTCTGGTGTGTACAGAGTTCAGGTCACATAAAATTTTGTAACCACGCTTTCGTCTCGTCTTAACTCCATTCAACTGTGATGTGGATTCTCTCCCTGGCAAAACAGTTTTCCCAGCAATGAAAAGGGTCTAGTGGAGTTTCAGGGCTCTCCCCTTACTGAAGAAAGGCTAAAATGTTTGATAGGACATACAGCCATCGGCAAAGAGAGACACAAACAAATATTGTTGGTGCCAACAAGTCAACTACGACTCATAGAAATTCTGTAAGCAACGGATCAAATTCTTGCCCTATCCTGCGCCATCTTCACAATCTCCATCATGCTCATGCCATTGATTGTAGTCACGGTGTCAATCCAGCTTGTTGAAAGTCTTCCTCTTCTTTTACCAACCCTCCACCTTACCCAGAGCAATGCCTTTTCCAAGGACATGTTATAAGGACTCCTTCCAACATATCCAAAGTAGGTGAGATGAAGCTTCATCATCCTTTCCTCTCAGACAGATTTGTTTTCTCTTGGCAGGCCATGGTATGTTCAGTGCTCTTTTAACAGTATCACAATTCAAAGGCACTGATTCCTCTTGTATCTTCTCATGGCCCAACTTTCACTTGAATATGAAGCAACTTTTTGAGTAAGGCACACCTTGGTCTAACATCCGTTCTCTTTAGCACTTCAAAGAGATCATTGGCAACAGCTTAGTTCAATGCAAAAGTTCTTTTAATCTCTTGTTAGCTACTACCAGGCAATGTCAGAAGAGACAATGAAAATTACATTAGAGCACAAAGAAGCCGAAACAAAAGGAAGGGATCCCAAAGTAAAAGCTGTCCAAAAGATTTAGCTCGAGAGGCTAAAGCAATATGTACCAAAATGTGCAAAGAGCTGGAGTCAGCAAATAAAAATGAGAAGAACTTGCTCAGCATCTCTCAAGCCAAAGGAACTAAGGAACAAATTCAAACTTCTAGTTAAAATATCGAGAGATGCTATGGGCACAATGTTGAATGATACAGGAAGCATCAAAAGAAGATGGAGAGAACACACATCATTTTTGTACCAAAAAGAATTCATTAGCAAGGAAATATTTCAGAAAGTACCATATGAACAAAAGCCAATGCTGATGAAAGATAAAGTTTAAGCGGTACTGAAGGCTTTGGCAAAAAATATGGCCCTGGGAATTGACAGAACACCAAGTGACATGTTTGAACTAACAGATGCAGCCCTGGATGTGCTCAGCAGTTTATGCTAGGAAATGTGGAGGACAGCTGACTGGCCATCTGACAGGAAGAGATCCATACCTGTCCCCATTCACAAAAAAGGTGATCCAACAGAATGTAGAAATTATCAAACAATATCATTAATATCTCATGCAAGCAGAATATTGTTGAAAAGAATTAAAAATTGTCTCGAACAGTACATAAACATGAACTACCAGAAATAAGCTGGTTTTAGGAAAGGCTACGGCACCAGGGATATCATTGCTGATATCAGATGGATCCTGGCTGAAAGGAGAGAATACTAAAAGAATGCATATTTGTGTTTTATTGACTATGCAAAGGCATTTGACTGGGTGGATCATAACAAATTATAGCACAGATTGAAAAGAATGGGAATCCCAAAATACTTAATTAATTGTGCTCATACAGAATCAAGATCTACACAAAGAAGCTGTTTTGAGAACAGAGCAAGGAAACAGGATGGTTTAAAATTAGGAAGGGTGTGCTTCAGGGTTGTATCCTTTCTCCACCTATTCAGTCTGTATGCTGAGCAAATATTTCACAAAGCTATTGGAGGAAGACTTATCAATAACCTCCATTATGCTCATGACACAACTTTGCTTGTTGAAAGTGAGAAGGATATGAAATACTTGCTGCAGATCAAGGGCTACAGCCTTTGGTATGGCTTACATCTCAACATAAAAAAGACAACTATCTAAAAAAAAAAGATCTCACCACAGGTCCAACAGTCAACATTAAGATAAATGAAGAAAAGATTAAAGCTATCAATTATTTCATCTTGCTTAGATCAACAATCAACACCCTTGATGCCAGCAGTCAGGAAATCAGGAGCTGTATCACATTGGGCAAGTCTGCTATTAGGGACCTCTCCAAAATATTGAAGAATAATGATATCAGTTTGAAGACTAAGGTGTGCCTGATTATCAGAAGACTAAGGCCATTGTCTTTTCAATCATCTGTTATGTATCAGAAATCTGGACAGTGAATAAGTATTACAGAGGAAGAATTGGTGTCTTTGAGTTGTGGTGCTGGAGAAGAATACCCCATGGAATGACAAAAGAACAGACAAATATGTCCTGGAAAAGGTTCTGCCACAGTGCTCCTTGGGGCAAGGATCGTGAAGCTACATATTTCATACTTTGGAGAGCTTTCCAAGGAATAGCTAGACCAGGCTATTCCTTGAAAAGGGACATGATGCTTGGAAAGATAGAGGGTCAGAGAAGGAAAGGAAGAACCCCAACGAGATTAATTGACATTGTGACTTCAGCAGTGGGCTCTACTGTCTCAGAGATGATGAGGATAGAAGAAGATAAAAGAGGTTTCAGGACGGCTGTTCATAGCTCTGCTATGACTTGTACTTGACAACCCCTAAAAACAACTACCAGGTGTGTTGATTATAGACCCAAATGGTATTAAATCTTTGGCAACTTCAATCTTTTCTCTGCAAATGCAGGTGCTCCAAAACCCCAAATGAGGTTGTTATGTGCTGTCGACTACAATTCATAGTGACCCTGTGAGCCACAGCTCTGATCTTGCCCTATCTTGAGTCAAACTCACTGTCTCTGACATACCTGACAGGACAACCCATTACCACAAGTCACTGTGTCAATCCATCTCGTCCAGATTCTTCATCTCCTGCACGAATCCTCCACCCTTCCATGCATGATGATCTTCTCCAAGGACTGGTCCCTCTTGACAACATGCCCAAAGTATGTAAGACAGAGCTTCAAAATCCTTGCCTCCAAGTGCAGTCTGGTTTCACTCTCTCCAAGGCAGATTATTTGTTCTCTTGGTAGTCCATGGTATATTTAATACTCTTCTCCAGCACAACTCAAAAACACTGATTCTTCTGTCATCTTTATTCATTGTCCAGCTCAACTTCAATCATTTCTCCATCATGCAAGCCCAGTGATGAGGATTTTTACTCACACAGAAATAAATCCCAGTGCAACAGACAGATGGATTAATGGACACACATACGGTCACTAAAATTCATTCAAAACCACAGAGATTTTACACAGGTGCAAACATACAAGTACCTGGAATAGGGGAAAACTTAAGAGTGACACAGACACAGAGAATAACAAATACTAAGATTAAATATTAGAACAATAAAGATACTAGATACTAAAAATACTAAAAAAAGTAAATACTAGAACAATAAAACAGGTACTTCACAAACCAAATCGCTCAGACTCACATAGAAATAAAAACACAGAGCAACTTCAATAAGGATGGCCCAAAAAGAGACTCCTGCCAAGACAAATCTACTGGGTTTTGCAGCACTTGTTTCTGGGTGTGTCCGGCCGCTGATGGACCGACTGGCAGCGCCCGGGCGCCCTCCAGTGGCCGCTCCTGAGATCTGGGAGCAGTTCAATCCGGGGCACA